TATTTTCTCCCCATCTGTGTATCCCATTCTGATTTTCTTTTCTTTTCTTTTTCTTTTTTTTTTTTTGAGATGGAGTCTCGCTCTGTCGCCCAGGCTGGAGTGCAGTGGCGGGATCTCGGCTCACTGCAAGCTCTGCCTCCCGGGTTTTCGCCATTCTCCTGCCTCAGCCTCCTGAGTAACAGGGACTACAGGCGCCCGCCACCACGCCTGGCCAATTTTTTGTATTTTTAGTAGAGACGGGGTTTCACCGTGTTAGCCAGGATGGTCTTGATCTCCTGACCTCGTGATCCACCTGCCTCGGCCTCCCAAAGTTCTGGGATTACAGGCGTGAGCCACGGTGCCCGGCCCCCATTCTGATTTTCTTAATGGTATCTTCTTAACAGATTTACATTTTGATGAAGTCCAGTCCAACAATTCTATGATTCATGCTTTTAGTGTCTTATCTAGGAAACTTTTGTCTAACTCAAGATCACAAAGAATTTATCTTCCTCTAGAAGTTTCATAATTTTAGCTTTTGTATTTAAGTCTATAATCCATTTTGAAACAATTTTTGTACATACTATGAGGTAAGAATCAAGTTCATATGGATATCTAATATATGAATATCTAATACCAGCATTGCTTTTTGAAAGGACGATCATGTCATCATTTAAACCTTGAAACATTTGGCAAAAATCAATTGACTATGTATATGTGGGTCTTTTTTCTACTATTATTTCTGTTTTCTTGATCTATATGTCTATTCTCACACCCAGCGCAACTTTGTCTTGATTACTGTAGCTTTATAAAAATCACTCCAGAAATCAGGTAGTGTAAATGTAAGTCCTCCAACTTTTTTTTTTTTTCAAAATTGTTTTGCCTACTAGATGTCCTTTGCATTTCCATATAAGTGTAGAACCAGCCTGTCAATTTCTACAATATGTTGCTGAGATTTTTAGTGCAATTGCACTGAGTCAATAAATCTTGGGGGAGAATTGACATCTTAATGATATTGAGTCTTCTGATTCATGAACATAGAGTATCTCTCAATTTTCGTTGCATCTTTAATTTCTTTCCAGCAACATTTTGTAGTTTTCAGTGTACAGGTTTTGCCCATATTTTATTAAATATGAGTATTTTATACTTTTGATATTTAAAAAATTTCCATTCTTATCACTAGATAGAATATGATTGATTTTTGCATAATGGCCATGTATCTTCTAACCTTACATTTATCTTTTCTAGTTTTTTGCGAATTCCTTGTTTTCTACACAGCCACTCTATCTGCAAATAAAGTTCTACTTATTTTTTCCCCAATGTGTATTTCCTTCATTTATTTTTGTCGTGTTGCCCTGGGTGGAATCTCCAGTATGATGTTCAATAAAAGTGTGAGAGCAGATATTCTTACCTTGTTCTTAATTTTAGGGGGAGAGCATTAAATCCTACACACTGAGTATGATGTTAACTATAGGTTTTTTGTTGATGCTCTTTATTAGGTTGAGAAAACTCCCTTCTATTCCTGGATTGCTGAGAACATTTATGGCTTGGTGTTGAATTTTGTCAGATGCTCCTTCCACACCTATTGATTGTTTTTTCTTTTTATGCAGTAAATACAGTGAATTACACTACAAATGGCCCCTGCCTTATGATGACTTGACTTTATAATCTTTCAACTTTATGATGGTGCAAAAGCAATACACATTCAATAGCAACCATATTTTGATCAAAATATTTTTTGATCAACCATAATTCTGATGTATTTTTGGGCTAGCAATATGCAGTACAATACTCTTGTGATGTTGCAAAGCAGCAGTGAGCCACAGCTCCCAGTCAGCCACGTGATCACGAGGGTAAACAACTGATACTCCACAGTGTACTGTGTTGCCAGCATTCAACACTTCCTTATAAAATAGGATTTATGTGCAATGTTTTTGTCCAACTGTGGGCTAGTTAAGTGTTTTCAGCATGTTTAAGTTAGGTTAGGCTAGGCTATGACATTCAGTAGGTATACTAAATGCATCTTTGACATGGTATTTTAAACTTGTGATGGGTTTATTGGGCTGTAACCCCTGGGAAGAAGCATCTGTAACTGATGTTTGAATGCTTAAAAAGCTTGCACTCCTAGGATAAATCTCACTGGGTCGTGATGTATTTTCCTTTTGATACATGGTTCAAATTGATTTCCTACATGTTGTTAATAATTTTTGTATCCGTGTTTATGAGCAACATCAATGTGTAGATTTGTTTCTTGTAACATCATTGTCTGGTTTTGGTATCAGGTTAACGCTGGCTTTACAGGCTGAAGAGGGAAGTGTTTTCTCCTCTTCAATTTTATAGATGAGTTTGTGTAGAATGGGTACAGTTATCTTCCTTAAATGTTTGGTAGAATTCACCAGTGAAATTGTTCGGGCTGGGAATTTTCTTTTTGGGAAGATTTTTAACTAGAAATGTAATTTCCATTGAAAATAGAAATTTAGGTTATCTATTTCTTCTTGAGTGCGTGTTGGTAGTTTGAGTCAAGAAATATGTCATTTTCATCTAAGTTGACAAATTTACTGGCATAAAGTTCATAATATTTCCTTATAGGCTCTGTAATGATGTGCCTCTCTCAGTCCTGATGTTAGTAATTTGTATCTCTTTTCTCCTTTCCTTGATCTATCTTGGTAGAGGTTTATCAATTTTAGTAATCTTTTAAAAAATAGATTCTGATTTCATTGATTTACTCTATTTTGTTTTCTGTGCCATTGTTATTATTTCCTCTTTCCTGCTTGGTTTGGGTTTAATTTTGTTTTAATTTCTTAAGATGGAAGCTTAGATAAGATTCAATCCTTTATTTTTTCTAATATAAGCATTTAATACTATACATTTTCTTATATTCACTGCTTTTGCTGCAAGCTACAAGTTTTGATATGTTGTATTCACCTTTAGCTCGTATTTTATAATTTAGTTTTAACCACATCTGGGCTAATGTATTGTCAACTTTCCAGTAATTTGGGGGATTTTTGAGATACATTTGATTTACTGATTTCTAGTTTAATTCTTTTGTAGTCAAATAAAATATTTGCAATTCTTTTACATCTGAGAGTTGACTTATGGCCCATAGTATGGTCCCTCTTCATGAACGTACCATGTGTTAGGAAAAAGGTGTGTATTCTGCTATTGTTGAATAGAATGTGAACTAGAGCAGAGGACAATGTTCACATATTGAATGTCCTAATATATTCTCCCACTGATAGGAAGAGATGAAATCTGTTCTAAGGTTACATTTTCATGTCAACATAATCACTGCACTTTAATAGTATCCTTTTCAAAGTTCTTTTTAAGTTTGCACAGATTTGAAAAATCTCATTCCCCATCCATTCTTTTCTACCAGGCTATGAAATGTATATTGGTCTTATATTTTCTAGTCATATGCTTCAAGGCGAAGCTTGAGATACTGTCAACTATTCTCATGTGGGATGTGATCCAGGCTAGATAAGAGCATGAATTTCAGGCTGAACATGGTGGCTCACGCCTATAATCCCAGTACTTTGGGAGGCCTAGGTAGGAAGATTCCTCCAGCCCAGGAGTTCAAGACCAGCCTGGGAAACAGTGAGACTCCCTAACTCTCCAACAAACAAACAAACAAACAAACAAACAAAGACAGGGTGTATGCCTGTTGTCCTAGCTATTCAGGAGGCTGAGGTGGGAGAATCACTTGAGCCCAGGAGGTTTGAGGCTGCAGTGAGCCATGTTCACACCACTGCACTTCAGTCCAGGCAATAGAGCAAGACCCTGTCTCAAAAAAAATAAAAAAAAGATGATGGATTTTGGAGTCAGATAAGCCTATGTTCATATCCTCATTCTGCTACTTAAGATGCATGTGTTCATGGGCACATGGTCTTTATTTGTATTTTTTATGAGGCTTTTGTGAACATTTTGATAGTAGTGAAATACCTGTGCATGGCATGAATAAATAATATATGGCCCTGCTAATATTTTTGTTGTGTGTCATATGAGGGAATACTGGGAAAGGTCCACATACATTTTCCTTCTGAAAACTTCTGGTAATGTGTAAATTCCTTTATTAGCCATTTATCCATACATATCAAGCACTGCCCTCACTGAGCTTTATATTACAGCGTGGATGCCTCCTAAGAGTTTATTCTTAGTTCCTAATCCTTTTCAGTGAATCTGTTTGTTGGTAGCTGCTCTCAGTGACAGGAGAAATCAGGCAACATGGTAACAAGCACCTAGGAATGTGGGGTCCTAGAAAAGGAAGTGAATTCTACAAAAGGAGATCCGACTAGGATTGGTCCTATCACTCCTATTGGAGGTAGTCATGTCCACAAGCCAGCAAATACCTGTGCCATATACCATGAGGTTAAGCACCAGGAAGACACTTAGAAATACACTTTCAAAAAATCAAAATAGTAAGGCAATAGAAAAAGAAGGCATAATTTATTATGTCTATTATGACTAATGTTTAATAAGACTTATAAGAAAATTATTAGGATCATTTAACATATATATTCTGGAATTAGAAGCAAAAAAAGTGAGAACATAGCTGAGCCCCCAAAACATGCAAATTATATTTTTATTCAACAAATATCTGTTGTCCCAACTTGTGCCAGGCACCCTGTTAGGCAGTGAGGAATGAGAGTGACTGTGACAAACGTGGTTCCTGTTCCTAGTGGGGAAGGAATAGAAATAATAGTATCAGAGGTATGATGACAGAAGTGCAGGAGCCGAGAGAGTCCTAAAGGCATCTAAACCCGGGCTTCCCTGAAATGACCTGAAGCATGAGATGTGGAGGATTAAGGATTTCAGGAAGAAGGAGCAACCTGTGAAGAGGTTTTGTCAACTCTGACCTCTCCAGAAACATTTAGCCACAAGAAAAATCCATGATTTAGTGGAGACTGTCTAAAACATTTAGTGTTACCCAAATTCAGCTCAAGATGAATCAAATGCAGGATGACAACGTACCCCATTTCACAATTTTCCAAAGAAAATACTGATAATGATGAAAAGAATGACAGCAGTTCAGGCTTGTTGATGCATTTTATTGTGAGATGGGGGGGAGTCTGGTAAAAAACTAGAAAATGACCATGATGTAACAAGGAACTTAAAAATGAAGAGTCAGATCTGTAACTTACATACATGAATACAGGAACAAATTGGCACAAAATGTTAAACATTGTTCCCAACACTGTTTATAGAAGGTAATCCTAATTTGGCTTACTAAGGAAATGAGAGTTTTATGGTTAGGCTAATTTCTTAATAAAACTGCAGAGCATCATGCTATTAGTCACACAGTGAATTTCAAAATTTAAGTTTTATATTAAAAACTGGGTAAAGGTAAAATGACTTGATTGTAGTTGTAAAACTAATACATTCCCATTTAAGTTCTGTTCTACAGTCCAAGGCAAGTATAAATGTTAACATAACACTGTTAAATCAAATCTCAATGCAGGAGAACCAATTGCATCTCTACTTTAAATCTTATCAACTTTCCAAATTTTCATACTAAAATATATTATTGTATTAATACAAACTACAGTATTATACACTACACTGTGTAATAAATAAAGAAATATAAAAATAAGACACATAAATATAAAAGTTTTCTAAAACTAAAAGTACATATGTCAGTAAGAAGGGTATTAATACTGCCAGGTTTGAAGACATACAGTACAAAAATGTTGCACAGATCTATAAACTAAAAGAAATAAAATAATACTGATAGGTAAAAATCAGCTAATGTTGTTAATAAATTGGGTCCATAATAACTAACATTTGGAAACAGTTATGAGTCAAATAACAATGGCATGTCCATGTCTGAAATGCAAGTACATGGATAAAGCAGATTAGAAAATTTCCCTTTCGTTTCTGTAGAGAAATTCTGAAAGTCAATTAACATAAAATCAATACTGAGGAACTGAAGGGATGAAATATCCCAGTGTTTCAGTTTCTCTGACAGAGTCAGTGGTTTTAAGTTTTATTTGGGAATTTTGATACAACAAACAAATCAACAAATGCTAGTTATTGTAGGCCACACATTGGATGAAGGCGGGTTAGAGCCTTGAAAATACTGAGAAATGGCACTTACAGCACACAGGTCTTGCTTAAGGCCAAAGGAGATACAAAGCTTCATGTCATATCCTTCATATGTTACCACATATTCAAACACAATCACAAACACTGATTCTGACGATTTTGCTGTCCTTACCAGATTAACACTGTTAGTCCCTGCAATCAGAACTCAATGGCAATCTTTTGAACTCCATTTTAAACCACATGAGTAAGAAAATTCAGTTCTTCTATCAGCTGCTTTCTTAAGGCTAACAATACACTTTAAATGATAATACGCTCTACTAAGACATCTAAATATTAGAAATTACTACCTTCTAGATTGAATTTATAAAAGGTAGTTAGCACGGGTTGGAACTACATTATACTTCTCTGTGAAGGGAATTTTGTAGTGCAGAAGTTCTCACATTTTAAAAAACATAATAAAATACTGAAGCGGATTTAGCATATGTTTACCAATAAAAAATTATAAAATTTCTCCCAATTGTACAGCTTAAGAATAAACCAACATAAGAGTGATAATTAATACTGATAAAACAATGCCAGATGCATATCTAATTAATCAGCTTCCTTTAACCTCTCATATCGTTGCTCTCTGAGTCATTAAGGTTTTCTCATCTGCTGCATGTTACAAACTTGTTCCTAACTTTGAAAACTGCATGAAAAATTACTAGGTCTGAGGTTCAGGCACACCCGGATTTATTTTGTGTGTGTGTGTGTGTGTGTGTTTTTTTGTATTTTGTATTTTTTTAGTTTTTACTTTACACAGTAGTGAACAGGAATCACAGCATACAGGTTACTGTGTTTCCATGAAAAGCAAGGATAATATTGAACAAAATTCATTATCAATTAGAATTTATTTTCCTTCTAGAAAAACGATCAGGCTTCATTTGTCTTTTCTTCAGACACTTGCTCACTACTCTCGCTTACTTTTTGTCCTAAGCTGCTTGCTTGACTTTCAGCCCTGTCATCCTTCATCAGACCTTCAGGTTTTGCTGCTTCTCCCTCATTCTCTGCATCTTCTACCTCTTCTTCTTCCGCTTCTTCCTCCTCCTCCTCCTCCTCTTCCTCATCCCCTTGTGGTTTTTCACATTCTTTTTCTTCCTGCAATTCTTCCATCTCTTTATCCTCCTCCTCTTCCTCTTTTTCACTGTCTTCATCGTCTTCCCTTGTCAAACTCTCTCTCTCGTCCGAGTCGCCCTGTGAGGGAGATGCCCTGGCACCCACATGCTCATTCGAGAGGATTTCAGGCCCTGCCTCTTCCTGCTCTGTGCTGTCACGTTCTTCCGCTTCTCTCTTACAGTAGGAGTAGCGATGATTCATGTGTTGAGAATAAGACCCAGAGTGTGAGAAGCGCTTTCCACATTTGTCACATTGATAGGGCTTTTCTCCAGAATGTAATCGCATGTGTTCAATCAAATGATGTTTGTGTTTAAATGCCTTTTTACAGATTCCACACTCATGAGGTCTTTTACCTGCAAAATAAGAATTCTGTTAAATAAAATGGTGGTATTCAGCAAATAAAATCCTTACATGGTTTTTGGGGTACTTCAGGTTGTAGAAAGGGGAGGGTTGTTAGTTTCATTTTTAAAATATTTCCAGGTCCCAAACTCTTTGCAATATAATACTGCAATTTGTTCTTTGCATTAAAAAAGTAGTGCTCTACACTCTGCTGTGCAGTTGATTAGGTCAATGGGAGCTACATGAGATTGAAATGCCAAAAATACAAGCATCATGACGGCGAGGTGGAAAATGGGCCAAGTGCAGCTGGGAGTAGATGTCTGGTAGTGAGTGAGCACGGTGAGGGCAGGCAGGGACAGACGTGCTGCTCACCTTGTGTTCTTCATTATCACTACCAGTAAGGTCCCTAAAAAGTCATTTTTTTTTTTCCTAGTCACAAGCTCTGCCCCCAATGAAATTTTAATGTTTACGATATACTTTTTATATATGATAAAACTCATAAATATACATTGTATATGCTGAGCTTCTTTAGAAAACCACAGCCATTGTAGTATCTCAGACTTTTTTGCCCCCTAAGAAACAAGTTTTGGCCCGTGAGGGCAATACTGCCCCTCCTGAGAACGCATGGGCTAGAGGAGTATTGCTGCGCAGACACGAAAAGGACTGGCAACAGATCACAGTCAGGATCGAGAATGTCCAATGTCAGAGCTATCAAGCAGGTAACACTAACAAATGCAGAAATGATTTTTAATTTTAGAAACAGTGTAGTTTTTCATATATATTTTTCACTTTGATAATTGCTAATATTTAACTTTGCCTGAAGAGGAAGGGGATTTTCTAACTTTTCTTAGATCTCTGAGAACCAGAGGACTGAGTTACAAGGGGCTGGTTTTGAGAGGTGTGACTTTCTGTTATATAACACTAGTTTTTAGCTCCAAGAACCTCCCAAGTGTCACTGTATGAATCCACAGATTGAAGAAGGAAAAAACAATTTTATCTTTTCTCACAAGAGTAAAAAATACACTGAAACAGTTTAAGAATATGAAAGATAAATATGGATACTGTAGTCATAATGGCTGGTAGTGGGGGCAGGGAAGAGCGGGTAGGGGATTAAAGAGCTCAGGATGAACCCAGCCCCTTTTACAGCAACCCATGTTAGAGAGACACAGGACCGTGCTGGAGCCAGTTTGTACTGGCTGGAGAGTCTACTGCTAAATTTTCAGGAATTCTGCAAGCTGATTGATATCACATTCAAGTTTGAAATCCACCATGATCGGAGTATTTATGCCGCAAAAAGCTGCAAACACCACAAATCAGGGCTTCCTCACCCTTCAGAGAACCAGGTGTTAAAATTTATCAGTACTTCACTGATGGAAGGAATGAAATAGGCCGGGAGTTGGCAACTATTTTCCGTAAAGGGTAGTGAGTATTAAAAGGCTTTGCAGGCCAAATGGTCTGTGTAGCAGCTTCTCAATCCTGCCATTGTAGAACAGCATGAAAGGTGACATAGACAAAATGTAAATGAATGGGCGATGCTGTCTTCCAACTCATTTTATTTAGGGACGCTGATATTTGACTTTCACATAATTTTCGTCAGTCATAAATACTCTTTTCATCTTTTTCAATCATTTAAAAATGTAAAAACAAAAACAAAAACGACCATTCTTACCTCACAGGCCTTAGAAAAACATGGGTATGCTTGCCTTTGGCCTGTGTGCTATAGTTGCCATCCCTGAGTCAATCTAAGGAGGCATATTTTGTGGCAGAATTACAGGATCTCAGAATTACAGGATCTTAGAATCTTCTAGTCCAACCTCTTAGGCAGAACTTCTTACTTAAAACAAAAGATCTTGACTTGCCAGGACAGCTTGCTGCACACTTACGAAGAAGCAGCTTTTTCTTTTATGAAGCCAGATCCTGTCTTCCTATGACTTTAGTCCACTGGTCTCATATTTTTTATTAATGGATACTATGTACTGTTTTTATTAATATAGCATAAGTTTGCATTAAATGAATGTGGACGTAATAAATGCTGTGTCAGCTTAAAGGAATTAAGTCATGGAAAAAAAAAACAACAACAAAAAACAGATGAAGCAAAAAACCAAAAGGCCCAGACCTTAAGTACTAGGTAGAAGTGGGCAAACAGGTGAAAATGGCCAGATTAGAGAAGTAAAAAATAAGAAAATTAACTCTGGGTTGAGCGTGGTGGCTCATGCCTGTAATCCCAGCACTTTGGGAGGCCGAGGTGGGTAGATGGCTTGAGCTCATTAGTTCAAGACTAGCCTGGGCAACATGGCAAAACCTGTCTATATAAAAATTGGCTGGGTGCAGTCGTATGTGCCTATAGTCCCAGCTACTGAGGAGGCTGAGATGAAAGGATGGCTTGGGCCCAGGAGACGGAGGTTGCAGTGAGCTGAGATGAAGACTGCGTGCCACTGCACTCCAGCCTGGGTGACTAGAGCCAGACCTTGTCTCAAAATAAAATTAAAAAAAAAAAAAAAAAAAAAGAAGAAGAAAGAAAATTCTAAAACTTTAGTTTTTAATTTTGCATCTTCCAGTATATCATATCATGGACACTTTTGAATATGTTTGTGTTCACTGACATACCTGTGTGTTCATATTTATGTCTCAATAATGAACTACTCTTTTGGAATATCTTATCACACAAGTCACAAGCATACATTCCATTTTCTGTCTTCCGCATTTTCTTTTTGGGTGGTGTAGAATCAGAGTCATTCTGATCCTCTACATTTGATACTCCTTCTGAGCTAGTATCTTGTCTTTCATCCTAGAGGAAGAAAGGTGTGAGAAAATTTAATTTAACATTAAAAGATAAACAAGAGATATACATAAAAGTATGAGATAAAGAACTACTTTAACTTATACTTTTATACTTTCAAGGACTTGACCAAAGCAAGTACACTGATCCTCACTGCACATGCGCCCCAAGGGTGGGACCAGATCACAGGTGGAGGTGACAAGGACAAGAGTGAGGTTGGGGATAACACGGTCAAAACTATAGCAAAGACATATACTCAACTGGTACTGGAAAGAAAGCAAGGACACCCAAAAGAAAACATGTAAAATATATAGTAACAGAGTTTATCTGGTTTCATGTAAATCATTACTTTACGAGAAATTTGCAGGTTTTAACTTATTAGTTTGCTAATTAATCACTCATTACTACCTGCATCAGTTGCCTTCATTTTTTCATTCTGGGTTTCACTAAGCAAAAGTTAACATTCTATTTTTAAAACCTGGTCTTTCAATTGTATCCTCCAGAACTTCAGGGTTCTTTAACCTCCACGGTCTCTTTGAAAAGAGAGGTGTGCTCTACCACTTGTCTAAGGAGCAAGATGGAAAAACAATGCAGGAGGGTCTTTTTAACAGAAATAATTGCTAGTCAAAATGAACCTTTAGAATTCCAGGGCGATAAAAAGAAACTCCAGGCAGTCTCATGGAGATAATTTTGGGCAGCACGTTCTTATGTAAGCCGAATAACCCTGCAGGGAGCCTGTTGTGGAACTGGGTCCCCTAAGATCTTTCTACCTTATCTAGAGTGTTCCATGCCATTGCCTCAAACCCACAAATTTTCTAAAAGTTGAAGGTTTTTCACAATATTTCCTATGGCTTTATGAGGCAAGAGAAGTGCAGCCATTTGTTCCTGTCACTTGTGAGTGGCCCCGGTGCTGAAGTAACTTGACTATCACCGCTATTTGATCTAGTCACGTGACATGTGATTCTATATGAAATGCTAAGGATGGCTCTTTTTCTATTCAAAGGCATTCAAAGTGTTCTGTACACTAAAAATTTAGAGGAATTCAATGATCATGTAAGAAATTTTTTTCAAGAGTTATCACAAATACAGGAAACCCAATCAGTAGCAATATTTAAGGGAAAAGCAGCAAATACACGTTTGAGCAGGATATTGAAATTATTATACTTACAGAAAATATTTGCATAAAATATCAAATTTGTCTCTAGTATTCATTTGATTCCATCAGAAATTGATGGAAAAAATGGGAAAACATCAACATCAGTGACATGGAAAAAGTCTGGACAATGAGGCATACAATAGCTCTATCCAAAACTATTGTGGGTTTTGGGGTAAGACCAGTTCAAGGGTTCTTCCTGGACAGAATAAACACTGTTCTCGTAAACACTAGTGATAGTTAAGGAGGAAAATGCATACATATTTTTAGGTTCACAGCCACACTTCCTCATATACATTATGACTGAACACTGTTTATGCACAGTTCATAAAATGATCAGTAAATTCACAAGATACGTTCTTTGTATACTTCATTCCTGTTTAATTAAAACCTTTTATAAACAGATGTATTAGTATATAAAAGTGATAGATAAGTTTGCCTGGTATGAACCTGTGAATGGGAACATATTTTCATTTATTAATGACCATAATCAAGGCAGAAACTATTACTAATTCAGGAATTTAGCTATACAAACAGAAACCCAATTAGTGAGTATTTCAATTTTGTTTTTTTATTTCTAACTTCAAACAGGTTTTTAGCTGAGACTTATAAATCATCTTTCACAATAGCATAGCATTCCAAACTTCAAGCTGGTAACAATACCCTGGATTAGCAAACAACCAACTGAAGACATCACACCAGAAAAGTTAAAGCAGACATTGATCCTTTTAAAAATGACCTAGTTGGCTCTACAGGACTGATATTTATTAGACAAACTTAATTGAAATTAATCAAATAGCATTTTACTAGCCAGGTTCAGGATTGGGGGTTTTTACCTGATTTCCATTTGGCTGGATCACTTTCAAGGGTGGTTCTTGGACTGCAGGGCTGACTGTAGTTGAGTATGTGTATGCCACCTGGGGAATCAGAATCGTTTGCTTATTGGCAGCTAGTGCTCGTAAGCATGGAACACTGTTCTGGTCAGCAATGGCCACGATTGTGGGTAACTGGGCAGTGACTGTAGGTATAGCGATATTTATGGGGTTGGCACTTGGTGGGATTACATTTACAACTGGTTCTGAGTCTGTAACACAACTGTCCTTTTGTGGCTCCTTTTTTGCGCAAGACAAGTTCAAGGGTTCTTCCTGGACAGAATAAACACTGTTCTGGTAAACACTAGTGATAGTTGACCTTTCTAATAATTCTCCCTGTTGCTTTGGTAGTGAAAGATCAAGAGGTTCTACTTGTGGCTCTTCTTGTGCACCCTCAGCTGTGTACAAGTAACCCTGTGTATTTCTGGATGAGGAAAGGTTTAGAGGTGATGGGGATGGTGTACTACTTCTGGAACCATTGGTGGTTGATCCCACTGGTAAAACTGGGGAGTTAGTCATCTTCAAAGGACTTTGTAGGTTTACTGTGCTGTCCTGGGGTTCATTTGCATTTGCAGATTGAGGCTGATCATTGTTCTTGGAAGGGATATTTACTTTGCCTGGTTCAGGAGAAGATGGTTCAGAAGACTGCACTGAAATCTGTCCAGCTTGCATCTTTTCAAACCACTTTTTTACTACATCCAGTGGTAGGTTTACTGAATCAGCAATTTTTGAGAGCTCTTCTGCACTTGGTTGTGCATTCAAAGCATAATATGCTTTTAGGAGAGACAAGAGGTTCTTTAAAGGTGGCTGACTGGGAGATAAATTGCCATCTCCAGTAGCTGATGAAACAGAGGACTCAGGTTTCTCAGCTTCTGCTGCAGGGAGTGGAGGAGGCTGAGTAGGCTGCTTTAGGTCATAGTGCTTTAATTCTGGAAGTGCATTAATATCTCCTGGACAATCATCACACAGAAGACAAGTGCTATCATTCACCCCCCCTTCAAAGCTTTTGTCCTTCTCAGACTTAACAGTAAGATCTTCTGGTAACTTTTCACTTTTACAACTGTTTGTAGCAACTGGATTTTCTTTTTTTAAATTTTGAGGAACAACTTGAAGTTGGCTAGGCTGCTCAAGACTATAGTTGATGATAATTTTGGTTGTTCCATCTTGATCAACCAAAGGAAGACTGATGGCTGAAATAACAGAATGGCCACCTTGTTGTATGGGTGAAGCATTGATTGTTTCTTGTTCTTTGGATGCAAGACTGGCTTGATTATTCTCCAACACTTGTCGTATTACATTACCATCTACTGCCACTTTAAGTACATTCTGAATATCACTTAAATTGATACTTATGGGAGACACCAAACCAACTGTTGGCAGAACAACAGCTTGCACCACGCCCTGAGGAGAACTGGTTGCCTGTAATGGGCCACCACCAGTGAAAACCCCATTTTGTAAAGGGGTTGAACAGTTGATTCCTGAAGCAACCACTATGGGTTTGAATTCATAATCCACAGGTTCAGTTTTAATTTGGTTAACAGAAAGCTGTTCCTGAAGGGGTTTATTCTCTATCTTTTGCCGTATCTGTGGTCGTGAGGGACTGCCTGGTGATGCTGAAAGAGACGGTGAAGAGCACTGAGATGTCTTGAGTCCTGTTCTTGGTCGCCCATTCACAGGTATCAAGCTGATACATTTCTTACTGCTTATGTGTGAGCTATAGGAGCCAGAATGGGAAAAGCGTTTCTTGCAGTTTGGGCATTCATATGGCTTCTCTCCTAAACAAACAAAAAAATTATATTCACTGAATTATTACATATAAATTTTTATGTATCCTCATTTCCCTAAAACAAGCGATATCGATTTTAAAAAGAAGACTGCCATGCATGCTTGTGAGAGAATTTTATTTAGAATCATCCTTTTAGCTTCAAAACCTATATAAATGTGATGAATGCTAGTAACTTAGTCTCAGGTACATGTCCTGCTAACCAATCATGGAATCTTCGCAGCATATGTGTATAATATTTCTGCCAACCTTTGTAACTTCAAATAATTCTCAAGTACCAAAGGTAATTACATTCTACTCTTTCAAGTATGTTTTTTCTTATTCCGTTTCACCAACCTATATCATTTTCTATATTTTACTTTATTCAACAATCTGTAGGAGAAACATTAAAGAAAAATAAGTAAAATGTTCCTTATGACTTAACAAGTATGAATATCTATCTTTGATTAATAAAAATTCCTGTACCCATAGGGCTTCCTTGAAAATAGTTTTTCCCTAATGGGAGGAAAACTTTAAATATAAGATATTCTATAAGCATTGGCTTATTAAACTGGAATGTATATACCCCCAGGATAAACACTGTAGTGGGTATCAAAGCATCTTGGAGTTTCAATTTTAGTGACAGTGGGTATGATAAAACATTATTTTTATACTAAAACAGAGAAAAACACATTTGTGTGACTTGCTAGGAAAAGCCATGCACTGTCAAAGTAGCCTTGGCTTGCAGAGGCTTCCCTCAAGCTGCTTCACTAGACTCTGTGGGGTACAAGGCATTTATTCTCCTTGGCTGTTAGGGACACTTTGGTAGAAAATTTTGAAAGCACTGAGCTAAATGGAATATTTTCCTACAAACCTAATATTTCCTTTGAGTTTTAAGTTCTAGTTATAGTTCGCTAATTTATAATTTAAAGGTTACAGACTTCTCCAGTAAGGCAGAAGCCTCTGAGGCTTGTTTGCCATTTATCCCTTGCACCCATCAAAGCACAGGTTGCAAAGATGCTCATTAAACCTTTTTTGGATGAATGAATGCCTAATTGTTGAATGATGAGATGTGATGAGATGTGATGTCTACTAAGTATGAAAATAAAACTCTCCACCTCCTGTTCTTTTTAAGAATTAAAATGAAAGCAGTGAGGAAGTCAACTTAAGCCCTACTAACAATAGCTTCAATAGTAACTTCAATGCTAAAATGTGTTTAAAATGTGAGTTATATTTTCTAATAAATATGATTATTTGAAGAATCAAAAATAAGAATTGGAAGAGATTTAAGAAGCCCTGTAGTACAGCCTCCTTTTCAATGAAGAGTTCATTTCATATCATTCTTGACACTAGCTCATCTCTGCTTGAGCTTCTTTAATAAAAGGGGAGTTAGGTCCTGCTGGACAGCCCTGCACAAGAGGGTCCTGTCTGGTTCTGCTGAGGTCCATGGATTTGGGTTCCAATCCTGGCTCTATCACATACTATTTTCTTAAGCTTTCCAAGCCTTAGTTTTTCAATGTGCAAATGCAGATACATTCTCATTGGACTGTCATAGGGGTCATATGAGATTATATAGCAAAACTCTTAGTATGCTCTCAACAAATGCTAGTCACTTTTTAAAAAGGCAATTCTACTAAGAGACAGGCTGAGTTTCAGCCAAAGTCGGCTTGCTATGATGCCTAGTTCCCTATCCTAGTTTGTCCTTCTGATGCCACACAGAACAAGTGTAACTTTTCTTCTCAAGTCAAACCTTCAAATGGATCAAGAGCTGCTTTATGTATTCTTAAACTTCTCTTATGTAGGTTAAATATAGCTAGGTCCTTCAAACATTCTGCACAGGATGTGGTTTTTAGAACCCTTACCTGCTTGTTAACCCACCTCTGGAGATTCTCCAATTTATCAATATTTTTCCAATGCGATGCCTGGAATAGGATTCAATTCTCAAAATACATCAGACAAAAGTTTCCAGTGGGGGTAAAACAAGGAATATACTCTAGTATATCTCTATTTTAACACTTTTAATTACTTGATAACATTTTTACATGAACTACATGCTTATTTTCCTTCTAGAGCCACAGACTTCTAGATAATACAGACTATTTCATTTTTTAAAACAGGGAGACAGAGAAGAATGGTAGGTGAGGGAATGACTATGGGTCAGGATGACTACATCACAGCCCTAGCTTTGCCATGTACTACCTGAGTGACCCTGGACAAGTTAATTAAGTCCTCTGAGCCTCAATTTTCTCATTAGTAAAAAGAAGAAAATAATAAAATCTACTGCATAGGTTTATCCTGTGGACTATATGAATGAATGCATACAAATAACTAACATGTGGCTGTACATAGCTAAGGGTCCAATAAGTGCTAGTTATCATTATTATTGTTAAAAATTATCTTGATATTTTATCATTGCCAGAAAGAAGTTTACACAACAATTATTCTAAAGCTAAAGTCACTATATTTGTTATAAAACTCCTTGTTTCTAGCTTCATAGCTTTATAGTTTATAGCTTAGGCATATCACCTAATTTATCTATCGAGGTTAGGGTTTACAAATAGTTTAGCCTGAAGGTTACATCAGGAAGTTTTACTACTCAACGTTTGGTATGCTATGTATAATGACTTTTTTTTTTTTTTTTTAATGGCTGAGGTGGGTGTTTGGCTGCATCTGATATAAAAATTTTCCAGGCAAAAATTACTAAGACCACGGAAAATTATTTTTGGGGGTGGATCACAGCCATGTGCAGGTGTTCTTTTGTCTCTAATCTGAGTGGAGGTCTGGTGGCCTTTTCCTCATGAGAGCTCAATTCCTACGTGAAGAATCAACTAATTATCAACACACATGGTTCGGCATAGGGTCATGATCAAAATTTTTTGGGTACCAGTATTTAGCAACAATATAGGAAATTTTAGGGGGTATAATTTTGGATCCTGATTCTTAACATCTTTTAAAAGTCATGTGAAAAGAAAGTTATGGAGGTTTCCTAAAGGATATTCAGCTCATCCATTATTAGATACTCCAAGCAGAACTTTTCAAACTAATTGTGGTGAACGACCGATTGGTTTTGTTTGGTTCTTTTTTAAGTTTCCAATCTACTGTGGACCAATATTTTATAAAATATAGTAAAATGTCTCAAAGTCTTGGTATAATAAATGCTAAATGCTTACTCTCATTTTCTGTACTTATCTCTTCAAGAATGAGTAACACATGGTTTGCGACTGGTACCAATCCTGAGCTGACACTTTGGGTAGCCTTTGCTCAAAAATCTTCTCTTGGAATAAACCAGACCATCAGAGAGCTGTGTACTTGAACTGTATCTACGTGGTCACCCTGGAGCAATGCTTTTCCTAAATCGCACTTTGGTGATCTATGACTGGCTTCTATTGAATAATCTGATTTAAAAAAGAAACCCTATCAAATTCTCTGCTGTGTTATTTTAAGAATATTTCTGAGGATTACATAACTTCTGTTTTGTTCTTTTCTCTTTATGTTGTTCCAAGGAATAACATTTTCTATGGACTTGGTATCAGGAAGGAGTAGTCCTTTTTCTAGCAACTGATCTTTTTTTTTACTTACAGACACCCTGGGTCTTGGTTACTGATTGTCGTTTTCTTACTTCCTAAACCTTAGAGCTTAATTTGTGGTCTACTTCCAGCATACGTATGGCATTTCTCAGCATTCATTTTTTCCCCCACCATTTACTTCATGTTAGTCTTTCTTAATTTTTCTTACATATTTTTAAATTAAAATTACTTGCTATGGTAAAGGTATACAAGCTTCACATTCGATGTTTCAAAAACAAGACAGAAATAAGTACATAATGAGTGGACAGTGCAGAGTACAGTGGGAGCTTTGTGTTCCATGATCTGGCCTAAATTTGCATTAGCTTTTGAGCAGTAGCAGCATACATTCAGCTCATATTAAGCTCTGGGCCATTCAAATTTACTACTTGATTGAGACTGATTTTTAAATACCAATGCTTAACTTTCAACTTCTTACTTCTAGACCAGTATTTCAATCCTTGTTCTGATTTATACTTCCCAACTTTGTATTATTTATAGATCTGATAAATTTTCCTCTACGACTGCACTATGACAAAATGAATATGACTCATTATATACATGAATCTTACTGTTAGCTTTATCTTCCTTCCTCTGCCCTGATTTCAACATTTAAAAATCCCTCTTGAAATTAGCTATATCTCTATTAACAACTTTAAATCATCTCTGGTAAGAAGGTAGGTTGTTAAAATATATTATTATTGATAAAAACTGTTCAATAGCATAGGAGCTAAGAAATAGGATATTGTGGCAGGCTGCAAAAGACAACCTCTACTTTTTAGAAACATTAATCAATGTGTGAAAATAAATGTTTTGGTAAGGATCTTGGTTTGAGCATTTTCAAGTGGTAACTTCAGCACATTTAACACTGAGGGTTAGCTTTAATGAGCAATACAGTAAAACTTTTAGAAATGCAGTTCCAAAATAAAACATAAATATCACCAACTACGCTTCACAAAGCTATCCAACTATACTTTTTTTGTAAGAAGATGTTTGTAAAATGTAAATGTCAATACATAATTTTCACAAAATAAGCAATGTGTGAGCACCCATAATTTCCCATTCATGGTTAATAATTTTTGCATTAAAATTATTTAAATCTAAAATAACATATCAAAATTTATTAGATGAACAGATTTCATAGCGCATCATGGGATGCTAGAGAGTTTTCCTTTTGTGCTTTTGTTCAAGTAGAGTCTCCAAAGAAATGTAAACATAGCTCTCTGTTTACTCTGAGTTCCTAAAATAGACACAACACTTTCATCACATAATAGTATTAACCTTGTAAGTAATATAGAGAATGACATGGAATAGACAGGTGAAGATGGTGGGTGAGCACATTTTTCTTTTAGATTCTCATTAATGCTGTAATCCTTTCACCCCCTCTCATTGCCTCCATATCATCTCTCCAATATTTTCTAATCTTGAGTTCCATTTCTACTTCTCTCAAATAAAGGACATCCTTCACTTCCCTATTTTCTTGTGCAAATCGTATCTCTATACTCTTTTCCATTCCCCTGTTAATTGTGCAAAGGAGGCAATGACATTTACATTCATCAGAAAGTTAACGTGTTTTCAGGTTGTACTTACTAAAACATGCTATATTATCTTCTCATTAGGAAATGTGGAGTATGTCATACTATATTAATTTGATATACTTTAATCAAAGGTTAAGACTCTAATAAAACAGAAAATAAACATACAATTTCTCCCTATTAGTGTATGCCAAAAGAAATGCAAGGAGTTTCTGATCATGTACGTAGATCACATGTTACGATATTTATTTATTACCACATATGCTGATATTCAGGGTGTAGAAAGAAAAAAAAATATTTACCACTGTGAATTCTTAAGTGCTCTTTTAGGTGGTGTTTGTATTTGAAAGCTTTTCCACACTCAGTGCACTTGAATTTACGATTACACCCAGACTGCGTCACATGTCTCTGTAAGAAAAGAATTGGTATTTTATTTGTAAAGCAAAAGATTTTTAGACTAAAGAACATCCAATCTGCTAAGAGTAACATTTTTGTGAGCCTGATGGTTGTTTTGTTCCTTAAAGACCTCAAATTGCAGCAGTCACAAAAATCTACCTCTTGAAATTACTAGCAGTTGTAGCAGTCACAAAAATGTAACTCTTGAAATTATTACCAAAAAGGATAGTGACAGTGGGGACAGAATTTGATACAGAAAAATATCAACTTTCTAAAGTATCTAAAGTATCTAAAGAGTTCATCCTTTATTAAGCAATATTCAAAATTAGCAAAAATAAAGTAATATATACTTTGCTAGGAACTAGAGGTTAATTTGTTTGCATTCCAATTTATAGATATAGAAATCACATCCACAAATACTGAATAACCTGTTTAAAACTCACTCAATAGAACAAGGTCCTGAAGAGAAGACAGGCTTTTCCCTGTACTTTATCCTGTCTTTTCCATTTGATATTTCCAAAAATGTACTTTGATGATTAAAAAGATACTTCTAGTTTTTTTCAGCCAAATGGGGATTATTATAATAGCTTTCTGTCTGGTTTATCAAATTCCCATTTTCACATATTTCAAATGTATTCTTCACACCTAGATTAATCTTACAAAAGCACTGCTTGAATTGAATTCTATCAACTCCTGCTCATAAACCGCTGAAGGATCTCCACTAATCCCTCAATAAAGATTCTGAGTCTATAGATTCCAAGATTTTAGTCCCTGAGTTTCCAAGATGATTTTTCACCAGTTTTTTATGACAAGTCCATGTCTCAGTCATTTGCGAGCCATGGTTTCCTGCACACATATTGCTCCTCTTTATCTTTTGGCTTTGGCTTACGTAATTCCTTACTCCTTCACTGTGTTTTCCCATAATTTTGACTACTAAGATTCTACCCATCCTTTAACGGCTTAACTCAACTACTGCTTCATGCTCTCCCAACTGGAATCTCCCTTCCTTTGCCTTTTATACAGGAAGGAAAGAGAATTAGTACTTACTTTGAATCAGGTCCCACTTCATTAAAACCCATGACTTAAAATACCAAATATATGGTGACAACTCCCAAATTTTTATCTCTAAACCTCTCCCCTTAACTCCAGACTTTTACAACCTACTGCTTCTTTGATATTGCCAGTTGGAAGGTGATAGAGATATGAAACTTTACATGATTAACACCAAACTCTTAATTTCCCTCCTACAAGCCAGCCCCTTCTCTAGTATTTCCCATCTCTGTGAATAGCACTCTCATTTATTTGGTTATAGCTTAGGCCTTAAACTTTGGAGTTATTCTTGATTACCCTCTTACTCATATACCCTCACCCAATCCATCAGCAAGCATATGAACATATTCTGAAGCCAACAATCTTATTTATCTGTCTGCCACCAAACTCTCTGGCCTAGATTACAGCAAAAGCCTCTAAATGTTCTCCCTGCTTCCGTTCTTGTCTCTCTTATCTATCATCCAACAGTCAGTGTTCCCCTAAAAATAAAAATTAAAAATTCCAGGATCCTTGGCAGGCTTCCCCACTGCACTTGAGAATACAATCCAAAGTCTTTATCTTGGCCTACAAATCGGCCTATAATATGTAGCCCCCAGCGCCTCTCTGGCCTTACCTTTCTCCCTTTCACACTGGCCTCTGCTGTTCTCAGGGTGTGCCCGGCAGGTTCTGGCCTCAAGGCTTTCTTACGTTTCACTGTTTCCTCTGACTGGAATGCCCTTCTCCAATATTCCATGACTGGCTTCTTAACTGTATTCAGATGTCCCATTCTCAGAAAAGTCTCCCTTCTCTGTGAAACCTAGCAGCTTTCATCATTTTCTATCCTCTTATCCTGCTGTATTTTTCTTCATAGTACATATTATTTTATTTGTTTTATATAATCTACTAATGTATGGTCCCTACTATCAGGGACTTTTTTTTTCACTACTGTGCCTTTAACACCCAGAAGAGGGCCTCACATATAAAAGAAATGCAAATGTTTGTTGAATAAATAAGTTAGTAAGGCTTGAAAATGCTTGTTAGTCACAGTATGATTCTCAAGGGCCAACAAAATACACATTCTACCTTTTAGTTTGCTACCTTGCAAACTAAATTGTTTCCAACACCTGTTATATTTCCTCACATTACTGGTCCCCATATTTATCACAGCTCCTTCCTGACCTTAGTCTGACCCACAGTTTATATGTAAATCCTACCACGTTTGCACCCACTGGAAAAATCATCATAGAATTGGTTTTCATGCTCATTAAATATTTTGGAGTTTGTTTTTATAATGGCATCTTCTGCTTTCACCACCAGTTCAATCTGTCCTCTCCTTTTACGATGGCCCTTGGAGTAGAGGGAATACAGTGGCAGCAGCTCAGGATGGGTCTGCTTCCTGAATGTCACGTGAGTAGGCTCTTTCCCAAGCCTTGTCTACACCGTGGCCACATCAGAGCGCTAAGGTATAAAACATACTCTTCTGCTGGTCTGTGTCTGATAAGACTCATTAATAGGGGCACTTAGAAGGAGACGGTGTTTGCCTTCAGTCATCCCTTCTCTGTATTAATTTCATCCTTCTCTTGGAGCTTTTACCTGTTTCAAGTGCTCCTTCATGGGCTTATGGACCATTAACCTATAAAATCTTGGTTCTATTCTCCCTGATTGCCACCCTCTTCTTCTTATCTTGTTATCATGAGTACTGTTGCCAAAGTACTAAGGAAATAGGTTGACTCTGCTCAGTCATTCTTTTTCTGTTACAATTTTTTGTTGTTGTTTGTTTGGCCTAGCCATCACCTTAGCAAATGGTCTAACTTGTTCTCTATGGGATATGTGACACATATTAGGTACATCCATAGGACAGAGTTCAGGTATGTAGATATACATCATTCTTTGATGTAAGAAACTGGAAATATGCCCTAACCCTAACATATACGCTCACAAACCCTGTGTGGTTGAAAATTTATTTAATTTTTAAAGTTACAATTAAGGCAATATTAATTTCATTGTTGATGGTTGATAGTTATGAGGACCTTGTAAAAGAACAACTGATAAAAGCTTTCTTGACTTTAATCCTAAATATAGAACCAGCAATTTAAATGTAACTTACAGTTAAAAAACAGTCTTGGTTTATGCTCTAAAAACTGTGGCACAGTGACATAGAAATAGAATAAACCATATAAAAATTGAGTTTTCAGAATAAAAAAATCTAAGCTTCAGATTTTTAGAGGAGGCAACTCCCTTTACTATGGCAGAAAAAACAAAACAAAACAAAACAAAAACCCACAGTAGTTTATACTGAGAATAAATAGTAACTGGTTCAAAGAAAATTAAACTTTTAAATTTGACTTTCTTGTTAATTTGGTTAGTAAAATGTGGTTTATATAGTCAGCATTTATTTTTCCTACACTGAACATTTTAATAGAATGCAATTTAAAATCTTCTAAACTTGAAGAATTATCTGTTATGGCATAAGCAAAATAATTAAGTCAAGATGGAAAGGGTCTTATCTGAAAAAAATGCTGAGTTACCTCTAAAATAACGTTCATATGTGGTTTTTAATCTCAGGAATGACCGGATAACTCAAATAAATAATCACTTTCACTTTTATAAGGCTGCAGATATAGCACTGTTTAGTACATTCTTTTAACGTTTAAATATATTAAAATCCTTGCCTTCCATTGAGGGCTGAGTTGTCAAAATCTGGAAAGTTAGTGAACTCTCAGTCATTGCACTTACTTGATCTCTTCCTGATTTATGTGATGTCATGTGACGTTCAAGTTGGGTTCTGTATGCAAAGGTGTAACTGCACAGGGAGCAACTAAAGTTATCTTCGTTCTTTTCATGACGATATTTAATGTGTTCTTTCAGAGAGGTAAAGCGTTTATAGCCTCTATCACAATATGGACAGGTGAGTAACTGTGAAAATGCATCTGGTGTTCCTGTAAAAGAAAGATCATATATTTTAAACTTAAAACATTCAGAATATATTACCAAAGTTTCCACTGACTCCCTATGCTATGTTCCAGATATTGTGCTACCCATTTCATATTTGATCCTCAAAACAATACAATGATACTCACCTCTATTTTATAAGAGAGAGAACACTGGTGCCCAGGAAGGCTAAATAACTTAAAAGAAAAGTCACAGAGCCAGAAAATGATGAAGTCAGGGTTCAGATACGGGCTGTCTGACCTTCAAGTCCCATATTTTTCCCTGAACCATAATTCTTCCCTTTTGTCATGTGATTAGCCAGAAAAGAAAACAAAAGTAAAATTAGAATGTAGGTTGCCTTTGTAAGTGTATACAGATTAAAGGGGAATTGTGCTCTACAACAGGGTCTACTGGTAACAATGGTATGTATCATTATTTATTTAAGGTTTATTCCTCTGATTTTGAAAATGAAACTACCAAGTCATTATCATCAAAGAGGAAACAGTACACAGACTGTTTCCAAGAGCCCCTTGCAGGTAGGTGTGGCCACAGGACTGAGTTCAGACCAAAAAGGAAGTGTGTAAGGTGGGGAAGGAAAGACTGATGGGGGCCAGATCTAGGCCTGCTACATAAACACATCCCATGCATGACCCTGCTTATAATTTCCCCTATTGAAATACATTGGCAAATCTGCTATATAACTGTGTATGTATGAATATATATAGCTTTTAGAAAACAAAAGCATTCTGAATAGAGTTTACTGAATGAACTTTATTTTTACACTTGGAGCTGTCTAAGCCTGACAATCCTAAAATGTAGTGTTTTGCCAATTAATACTATTAAACTAAGAGTAGTTTTCCATATTTGATATTTCTTCAATGAAATAAGTTACTAAGTGATATCTTTTTGTAAATATCATCTCTATTTTCATTTTGAATTCACTATAGAAAAACAAACCACCAAAGATAATTTCATAAAATCTCCAAGTGCTTTCTAAACATATACTCCTTTATTAAGTCCATATAAATCAAATGTCTTGCTCAAGGACCAGCTAGCAAATAATAGACTGAGCACCTGAATGTTAAACAGTTGGTCAAACATGTTGAGAGAGGGGCTTCAAGATGGCTCAATAGAGGCATCTAGTACTCACCTTCTCTACAAGGAAAAACCAAAATAATGAGTAGATAATCACACTTCACATAGATCATCTAAGAGAGAACACTGGAATTCAACAGAAAAGTGATAGGAAACACCTCAAGTAAGGAAGAAGGAAGTGAAGCAACCTGCAAAGGCTCTCCAATGCAGGGAAAGAGTAAGTGAGAGACCCCCAGGGGTCCACATTCCCACCATGGACTCCTGCAGTCCTAGCCATGGGAGACCCCTTGACCATTGTGGGCTCTGAGACTAACACAGGGAGGTACCTGGAGGCCACATGACAATGCTGCTCCGGAGAGGGAGCTTATGCTGAATCTGTATATCCCCTGAGTTCTAAGTGGCTACAGCACAGCACTATTTTGAGAGCCCAACCCCCAGCAGACTACATCCTGTTCTGGGACCCAACAGCTCCTTCATCTTCACATGCCTGGAGCCCCTCTGACATACCTCCCTTCACAGCCACCACTGACGCTGGTTGCGGCTGCTAAGGCTGAAGTGCGAACCATTGAAAGTGACCATATTTCCCCCCAGCAGAGGAGCTGCAGACATTTTTACATGCCCTGAGGACAGACTTCCCAACAGACTGCTGCCACTGTGAGCTTCCACCACTGGGGACAAAGTGCTAGCCACTGGCAGTGACCCCAATTTCCTCAGCAGTTGAGCTGCCATGCATTTATAAGGGACCTGAGGACAGGCTACCCCATCACAGCTGCTGTCTGGGGCTAAAGCACACATTTCCCAGCTCCCTCCCTATGGCTGCTGCCACTGAGAGCAACCTTGCCCTCCCCAGTAGGAAGGCTACAGTGCAAACACTGATGTCCTTACCTGAGCACTCTGCTGGTGGCCTGGGATCATCCTGCCCCTGCCATGATAGCCAGTGCCTACACACACCACCAAGGGGCCTGACGACAGGTCCATCTGGCCCAGCTTACCTCCTCCCCAGTTTCCGAGGCTATTCAGGGACCTGGGGGATCACCCAGCCCAGTCCAACACTGTTGCCACCTGAACACTCCTCCTGGAGGCCTGAGGTTGGGTCCACCCAACTTGCTACTATCACCACAGCTGGCATCCTCCTGCATGCACCACCAGTAGGCTTGGGGACTGACTCACCCAGCCCATTGCAGTCACTGCCAACACCAGCGTGAATCACTAGGGAACCAGGGGGTTGTCCTGCCACTGCTACTGCCATTGACCAAGTGACATGCACTGCCCAGGAGCCTGAGAACCTGCCTACCTGCCCTGCTTAGCACTGCCACTAGCAGCACCCAAGCAAGCCACCTGGAGGTCCAAGGATCAGGCCACCTGGACTTGCTAACACAAGGTGTCAGTGAGCCACCCTGTGGTCTAAGGACAGGTACCATAGGCCCGTTACTACCACGACTAGGACCCAAGGAATGTTCCACCTGGCATCCCTGTCCCAGCCAAACTTCACCTCAGCCTCCACTAACAATTGCACCATAAGCCAACAAGGAAATCACAGACCCTACTCACACTACTTATAATCAGATATATCACACAGAAATACACTACCACATATACCCAGAATCAAAGCCAAAGTGCCCTACTCAACCAACGAAAGCAAATCCAAAAAACTAGAATAACTGACTATTATACCAGATGTGTAGATATCAAGGTAAGAACATAAGAAACATGAAAAAGGAAAGAAAATGACAGCTCTAAAAATACAGTAATTATCCAGCAACAGATTCTAATCAAAATAAATTTATGAAATCCTGGTAAAAGATTCAAAATAATGATCTTATAAAAGCTAAGTGAGATACAAGAAAACACAGAAAAGCAACACAAAGTAACCAGAAAAACAAATCAGGATATGAATGAGAAATTTACCAAAGAGGTAAGTTTCATAAAAAAGAACTAAACAAATTCTGGAATAGAAGAATTCATTAAATGAAAGACAAAAGATATCTGAAAGCTTCAGCAATAGACTAGGTCAGGCAGAAGAAGAATTTTAGAACTTGAAGACAGGTCTTTTAAAATAACCTAGTAAGAGAAAAAGAGAATTAAAAAAATGAACAAAGCCTGCATGACAGTAAGAAACTATAAAAAACACATCAAAAATACTCCAATTTTTGATGTGTTATAAGGCAAAGAGGAAACAAAAGGGATAGAAAACCTATTTAATGAAATAATAGCCAAAAACTTCCCAAGTCTAGCAAAGGATTTAGACATCCAGATACAGAAAGCTCAGTGAATCCCCAAACAGATACAATTCAAAAAGATTTTCTCCATGGCACATTATATTCACTGTCAAAAGTAAAAGACAAAGAGAGATTCTAAAAACAAGAGAAAAGTGTCCGATCACTTGTAAGGGAACCTCCATATGACTAACAGCAGTTTAGCAGCAGAAACTTTATAGGCTAGAAGAGAAAGAAATGATATATTTGTTCAAAGTATTGAAAGAAAAAAACCCTGCCAGCCAAGAATCTCATACTCAGAAAAATTATCCTTCATAAATGAAAGAGAAATAAAGTCTTTCCTAAACAAGTAAAAGCTGAGAGAATTCATGACCACTAGACTGGCCCTACAAGAAATGTTTAAGGGAGTCTTATCCCTGGAAGTGACAGGAAAATATCTACCATAATGAAAACACATGAAAATATAAAACCCACTGGTAGAGCAAGTACAAATAAGAAAGAGAAAGAACTCAAATGTTACCACTACAGAAAACTACCAAACCACAATAATAATCAGTAAGAAAGGAACAAATGATATACAAAACAACCAGAAATAAAAATAAAATGACAGAAATAGGCTCTAACATATCAATAATAATAACCTAAATGGATTAAATTTTCCACTTAAAAGATACAGATTGGCTGAATGGATAAAAACTATAACCCAGCTATATGCTGCCTACAAGAAATTCATCTCACCTGTAAAGCTACATATAGAGTGAAAGTAAAGGGACAGAAAAAGATGTCCATGCAAATGGAAACCATAGTGAGCAATAGTAGCCATAATGAGATAAACTCCTAAATCCAGTAAACAAAACAGTATAAGGGGACAAAGAAGGTCATTAAATAATGACAAGAGTCAATTCAGTAAGAAGATATAACAATTCTTAACATATATGCACCCAACACTGAAGCACCTGCTTATATAAAGAAAATATTATTAGATCTAAAGGGAGAGAGACTCTAATACAATAATAGTTAGGGACTTCAACAACCCTATCAGCATTAGACAGATCATGTAGAAAGACACTTAACAAAGAAACACTGAATTTAAACTGCATTTTATACCAAATGGACCTGAGACATTTACAGAACATTTCAACCAACTAAAGGATACACATTCTTCTCATCAACATACAGAACATACTCTAGACTGTATGTTGGGACACATGACAAGTCTCAAACAAATTTTTAAAAACCAAAATCATATCAAGTAGCTTTAGACCACAAAGTAAAACAACTATAGATTTTAATAATAAGAGGAACTTTGGAAACTCTACACACACATGAAAATTAAACAACATGCTTCTGAATAACCACTGGGTCAAGGAAGAAATAAGGAGGAAATTTTAAAATTTCTTTAAATGAAATTAAAATTAAAATTTATTTAAATGAAAATGAAAATCAAAACAGAACATACCAAAACCTATGAAATATAGCAAAAGCACTACTAAGAGGAAGTATATAGCAATAAATACCTACATCAAAAAATAGAAACATTTCAAATAAATAATCTAACAATGTGCCTCAAGAACCTAGAAAAGCAAGAACAAAGCAAACCTTAAGTTAGTAGAAGGAAAGAAATAATAACAATCAGAACAAAATAAATGAAATGGAGACTAAAAAACAACACAAAGAACAAAACAAAAAGTTGGTTTTTTGAAAAGGTAACAAAACTGATAAACCACTAGCTAGACTAGAAAAGAACACAGAAGATGCAAATAAAAAATGAAAAAGAAGACTTACAAATGAAACCACAGAAATACAAAAGAGACAATTATGAACAACTATACATGAAAGAACTGAAAAACCTAGAGGATATGGATATTCTGGACACAGACAGCTACCAAGATTAAATTCAAAAGAAACAGAAAACCTGAACAGACCAATAATGAGTAATGAGATTGAATCCATAATGAATATCTCCCAACAAAGTAAAGTCCAGGACTGGAGGGGTTCGCTGCTGAATTCTACCAAACTATCAAAGAAGAACTAACACTAGTTCTCCTCAAACTATTCCAAAAAATTGAAGAGGAGGGAATTCCCCCTAATTCATTCTGTAAGTCCAGCACTATCTTGATACCAAAACCAGAAAAAGATGAAACAAAAAAGGAAAACTATCCAGGTTAATATCCCTGATGACAATAGACACAAAATCCTCAACAAAATATTCACGAACTAAATCTAACAGCACCTCAAAAAGATAATGCAATATGATCAAGTGGGATTTATCCCATGGATGCAAAGATGGTTCACCTGCATATACTAAAGGCCATATATGACAGAACCACAGCTAACTTCATACTGCATGGAACAAGCTGACAGACTTCCCTCTAAGAAGTGTAATCAGAAAAGGATTTCCATTCCTTCACCACTCCTACTCAATACAGTATTGGAAGTCTTAGCCAAAGCAATTGGGCAAGAGAAAGAAATAAAAGGCATCCAATTTGGAAAAGATGTCTAACAGTCTCTCTTTGCAGACTATATGATCTAATATCTAGAAAAACCTAAAGACATGACCAAAAAACTCTGCAATCTGCTAAATAAATTGAAAGTTGCAGGATACAAAAATCAACATAAAAAATCAGCAGTGTTTCCGTACACCAACAATGAACTAGACGAGAAATAAATCAAGAAGACCATCTCATTTATAGTAGCTACAAAAAAGTAAAATACCTAGGGATAAATTTACCCAAGGAGGTGAAAGACCTCTTCAACGAAAACTACAAAATATTGATGAAAGAAACTGAAGAAGACACAAGTAAATGGAAAGATCAGAATTAATTAAAATGATCATATTGCCCTGAGCAATCTACAGATTCAATCCAATCCCTATCAAAATATCTATGTCATTTGTCACAGAAGTAGAAAAAACAAACCTAAAATTTTTATGTAACCACAAAAGAACAATATAGCCAAAGCAATCCTGAGCAAAAAGAACAAAGCTGGAGACATTGCACTACCTGACTTCAAAATATAATACAAGGTACAGTAACCAAAACAGCATGGCATTAGTATAAAACAGATACACAGACCAGTGGAAGAGAATAGAGAACCCAGAATTAAATCCACATTATTAACAGCCATTTGATTCCGACAAAGGCACCAAAAACTTACACTGGGAAAAGGACATACTCTCCAATAAATGGTGCTGGGAAAACTGAATATTAACATGTGAAGAATGAAACTGGACTCCCATCTCCACCACATACAAAAATCAACTCAAGACCAATGAAAGACTTAAACATAAGACACAACACCATAAAACTACTAGAAGAAAACACACAGAAAACACTCAGGACATTGGGGTAGGCAAAGATTTTATTGCTAAGATCTCCAAAGCACAGGCAACAAAAACATTTGACAAATGGGACTATATTAAACTAAAAAGCTTTTGCACAGCAAAGGAAACAACAGAGTGAATATCTGCAAACTACTCATCTGACAAGGGACTAATATGAAGAATATATAAACTACTCAACAGATTAAGAAAACTCAAATAATCCTATTGAAAAGCAGGCAAAGGACATGAATAAACATTTCTCAAAGGAAGACATACAAATGGCCACAGATATATGAAAAAATGCTCACCATCACTAATCATTAGAGAAATGCAAATCAAAACCACAATAATATATCATTTCATCCCAGTTAGAATTGCTATTAAAGACAAAAACTAATGAATGCCAGTGAAGATGTGGAGAAAAGGGAACTTTTATATATTATTGGTGGGAATGAAAATTAGGACAGTCACTGTGAAAACAGTATGGAGATTTCACAAAAAAACTAAAAATAGAACTATTATATGATCCAGCAATTCCGCTACTGGGTATTTATCCAAGGGAAGTCAGTATATCAAAGAGATGCCTGGATCTCCATGCTTATTACAGTACTATTCACAATGGCAAAGATATGGAATTAACCTCAGTGTCCATCAATGGATGAAGAAAATGTGGCATATATGCACAATTTAATACTATTTGGTTATAAAAAGGAAATATGTAAACAAATGTTGTGGATATGACAGAATACTTCAAAATGCTTTATTAGCATTTAATTAGATTACACTAAATATCTGAAAGTAATGAATAACAAAATCAACAACTAATTCTATAATTCAAACTGTTTACTAATTCAGAATGGTAGTTCCTCAATTTTTAGATTGTACTGTGTGGACTTGACGAACTTTAACAGGTTTAACCTTTATTAGAACTACATAATGGATCATTTCTTTAGATTTCATTGTTTCCTTTCAGTGAGGCTTTTTGAAAGCCTTTAGTCACATAAAAATTTTACATAAATACATATATATTTTTAAATTTTGTATTTCCCTTTCATTTCTTTGATAACCTACTTTCTTCTGGTGAACAATAACATAGTCTTTTCCTCCAAAACTGTAACACAGCCTATTTCTTCTCAGGAGAGTCTGAACACATTTTTATTGCATTTTCCACACTCTGTACACTGACTATTCATATCAGAGTGGAATAAGGCAGATTCAGAAAAACCACTGTCTCCAAATTAGTATGTTCTTGTACAAAGCAGGCAACCATATTTTTATTTGCTACAAGAAGAGTGGGAAAGAATCAAAGGGCAGTAAGGGTTATTCTAGTTCTCGCTTCTACTGCCTACTGCCATGTAAGTAAATGGAATTTGATGTCCAGACACTGTTCTAAGCATTTCATATGCACTGGCATTACTACCACAATACATGAGCAGCTAATAATTTATTACTGTGTGGTCACCATAGTGTTCCATTAATGAAACGGACTGCTCTCTATAGGCACCTGTAATAAAGTCTGGTCCTCAAGAATGTTCCCAATAGTAGAGCAAGTTCCCATAGTAGAATGGTAGAAACAACAATCCTTTAAACAGCGAAAGAAACACAGTTGTTAAGATCCATTTACCATTTTCATCATGACCACTGGCTTCTGGTGTACCCTGCCTCTGGTCCTCTTCAGGTGCCTCAGGAAAAATGACAGCAGTGTCTTGTTGTTGCAGAAACTCTTCAACATTAGGATCATGGTTTTGCTCATTTTCTGCATCTGACTCGCATTCATCATCTTTTACTAAAAAAAAAAGCGTACTTTTAAGAAAGCAATCTCACCACTAAGTTATTACAAAGGTTTTCTAAATAAGAAATTATTTATGTTGAGAGAACATGTGATTGTTCTTGAATCTGCAGAAAATATTTCTTGAAAATTAAAAATGAATTCCACTCATTTTGTAATCTACTAAGATATCTCTTTGCTTTGTAAGTTTAAAGTGTTATAAATGTGTGAAATTCTCACAGTATCCCTTTTAAATGTTAAAGTCATACTTCTATTGCATTTTACTAATAAAACACAGAGAAGGCAATATAGTTGACTGAATTATTTCTCAAAATGATAAAGCAGGAAAAAAACTTTAGTTCTCAAAGGTCACCTTCTTAGCAACCTATCATATCACAATATTTATTTAAAGTTGGACAATAGACAGCCCCTTATCTGTGGCTTCATTTTCCATGATTTCAGTTACCTGTGATCAGCTGCAATCTGAAATCAGGTGAACACAGTACAAGAATAATAATCTGAGAGAGAGCGAGAGAGACCACATTCATATACCTTTTATTACAGCATATTGTTATAACCATATTTTATTATTAGTTTGTTGCAATCTCTGTATAAAATTTATAAATTAAACTTTATCATAGGTATGTATGTATAGGAAACAGTATAGTATATGTAAGTATTTATTTCAGACACTTGATGGGGGGTCTTGGAATTTATCCCCCATAGATAATGGTAGGGGGGGGACTGTACTTTAAATCTGAATCATTCTCACATAAACCATTCTGACATTCAGTTCAGTTATATGATTTCTTAGAACATAGTTTTTAATAATTACCTATAGTTAGAAGGATTTCTAATAAGCATCAAAGGGTATCAAATCTATGAAAACTGTTTCTTAGCTAAACTAGTATTCATATAAAACAAGGCTATTCTTTCTTTATTTCTGCCACAGTAAATGTTTAACTGTGGGATTAAGGCAGAGGCAACTTTTCTTGAATTAGAAAGGCTTATGCTTTGAGAAGGTAGCCCAGAGTGCTGCCAAGTTTCTAAAGCAGTATTGCTGTGCTACGGTTTCCTCCATTTCCTCCACTGGCTCCAGAGGAGGGCCTCTACTCCATGCTGGTAACTGCAATGCCTTAGTATGGCTCCCAAATGCCGCAGGGATGACTTCTTTATAGACTCTGACTGAACTGTCAGGTCTAAATTTGTAAAACAGCACTTCCCAGCAGGCTGACATTTGGCCAAATTAAAATGGGGATGTATGGGCATCTGTTTGTTTGATGGTTATTAAAACAATCTTGCTAAATCTCCTGCACCGTAGTGGTAACTGAACTCATCAGGGTGACTGCTGTTTAAAACCTGAGAACCAATGACAGTAACAAATGGTGACTGTAATTTTTTTCCCTACTTCTCAATAGCTATCAATTATTTAACATTTGCTACATACCAAGAACTGCATTATTTAGTTCATGTCACTAGTTACCAAACTGGGATTACTGGATCCAGAGGTAAGTGAAGACTTTTAAAAGGTAAGCTGGACTGTTGGTTTTAAAGGAATCAACTCCCAGATCCTCAACTTCCATGTAAACTCTTTTCTAGCATCCTTGAAAGTTCTTCTCCCTGCTCTCCCTTTTTCACAGTATCCCTTGTTCTTTCTTAAAAGAAAAAAAGAGAAAAGGCATATTCCTCTATCCATCCATGACATGATTATGGTACACTGCTTGGAGTGTCAAGTCCTTCTGGGTGCCAAAGGAGTAAAGTTCAAAATACTGATTAGGGAAAGCCTTCTTTACTGACAAATAAGGGCAACATAGAATCACTATAGGTTTTCTGGTCTTCCCTGTTTACATGAATTTCTATTAGGCATAAAGCACAACTGAAATGGGGGTATACTGGTCCTGGTTGGGATGCCGAAATTAACTATATAATATGACCAGAGGGAGTGAGGGTAATCTTCCCTTAATGACCCTAACTATTATTTAAAAATTCATTGCTCTTCAGGAGACTGATAAGAGCAAAGCAAATAATATTCTCAAACATCATTCCTAGGATTTGTCATTAGGTAGAACAATAAGCAGTTCTGAAGAGCTAAAGCAGAACAAATCAGTGGCATTCTTTTCAAAGCAACTTCAATTTCTTAAATTTAAACTAGATAAAAGTCATAAATGAAATGAACATATTATGTGATTTCTTACAGATTCCATGTTGAGTTGCTAAGAGTTAAAATTATTTTTATCAAATTATATAAAATATTTATTTCAATTAAGCAATCTCCATCTTATATTTTCTACATCCTAATAAAAATTATAAGTGTGCTAGCTGTTGGAATTAGTTTTTAAAGAGTATACACTTTTCAGAACTGCATGATCTGTATTTTATATATGAATTTTGCTACTTCAATAAATTCTAGCTTTCCTATACATTGATTAGGTCTAAAGGTACACAGTTGGAGATGAAGATTTTTTTAACATACAAATTAGATTAGATCTATATAATCTTAATCTTGACTTTACTACTTAGTATTAGTATAAGATGTATTTACTTATACTTTATGTTTTCTTCATTATTGATAATTTCTTTTTTTTTTTTTTTTTGAGACTGAGTTTCACTCTTGTCGCCCAGGCTGGAGTGCAATGGCGCAATCTTGGCTCACTGCAACCTCCACCTCCTGGGTCCAAGCGATTCTCCTGCCTCAGCCTCCCAAGTAACTGGGATTACAAGCGTGCACCACCACACCTGGCTAATTTTTGTATTTTAAATATATCCTTCATACACTTCCTTATTGATGAGATTTTTATAAAATTCCTCAAAATATGTATTGTCACACTGAGTTCAAAAAATGAAAAAATGCTTTTTTTCCTGACTGAAAGTAAGTCTGAATTGTCTGGCTGGTGTGATGTTGATAACTGGCTTTGCTGGGTAGATTATTGGAAATTTTCCAGAAATTGGGTGAACTAATAAGGTATTACTCAAAATACAGTTCACATAATAAAAGTGTTTTTCATGAAAAATATACTGGTAAAAGATACTTAAATTAACCATATTTCAGTTTCCTCAATCATTTCTGAATACATTAAACAAAGTGACTGTGAGAAAAAAAAATTTTTAAAGCCCAAAACAGATATCATTAGTCCTTTGATAAATAACTATTGGTAAAGTCTTTCTGGTATATGTCCCAGAAAATGAGGGAATAGATGATTGTAATGACTGGGAAATAAATCTTTTTGCAAATTAGATGGCTTTAAATTTTGGTTTTCAACAAAATTGAAGAAATAGTTAATCAAAGTATAAGCTGACAGGACATTAAAATATTTTCACTGACAAATAACTTTTGACATTATGTCTGAAGACATATAAAAACTGAGCAACTTAGTTATAACAAAATTTTATTTCATCTAATTTGAGAATAAAGGTACCTCAATGCTAAAAAAATAGAAACCAAATGATGAACACTTTTCCTTCTAGAAATAATATTAAGCTATTATAATTAATTACTATTTATGAAGTAATTTTAAAAATTAGCTCCTTTAATCTCATTTCTAGTAATGTTTTTCTTTAATAATTAAAATTTAAAATATACTTATGTTGTGATCAACTATGAACTACTAACAATTAAATGATAAATCCCTGAATTTTCTAAAAAACTAAGATCCTTGTGGTCCCTGGAAATTAAAAAGAAATTTTAATTTATACACATATTTTTCTTGTAAAGAAATACGATAGTTGATCAAAAATACCTTCAAACAGGAAATATATATTGGCATAAAATTCTATTACTGTATATAGAATGGAAATATGAGCTCAAAAAGTAAACATTATGACCTAACATTTCTTACTCTTAAAGAGCATTTTCATATTTTTAAAAAAACGATAATAGGTATTAATATACTATGGGTTTCATATGTAATAGTGATGTTAAAATGTCAATGTTTTACGATGCCAGAAATTAAATTGTAACTACTGACATTTAAAATGAAAAATTTTATATGTCCATTAAGAAATTTGTGAGGCAGTATATAATCAGTTTATATCCTATAAAATTTATATACAGTACCTCTTAGGTTGTTGTAAGAATTAAACTAATTAATACATTAATGTACTTATTAGGAGGGTACCTGGTATGTAGTAAGTACTACGGAATTGTTAGCTCTTTACGCCTTAAAGAAGTCTTGCAAGGTGAACATAATTTTGCAATTAAAATTTTTCTCAATAAAAAAATTAGGGTCAGAAAAAGTTTTCTGAGATCACAGAGAGAAAATGTATTACTGTTAGAGCAGACAAGTTGGTATTAGGTGTCAGGTATAAAATCTGAGCTCTATTAAACTACACTCTATCTCCATGAACCCACATTTACCAGGCCCAATTTCAAACTGAGACCAGAATTTCTGCAGCTTTTTAAAATTTAAAGTGTTGGGAAATGCACATCTTGAAAAGGTCAATTATAAATGTCCTGGTCTTTAGATGATAAACGTATATATTTAAATATTAGGGAGATGAGCAAATATACAGAGCATAAGAGGGTAATTGGGTTTTCTTTAAATATGACAAAACTCAAAATTGACAATCAAAGTATAGAATTAAATGACTATATACGTGTATTTGAGAGAGCAAATATTTAATATAAACACTAAATATTTTTAAATCAATCAATCAATTTTTCCATCCTGAATAAAGTGTCCTCAGGCTTCCTCTTATCTTTATCCTCCATGTTTGAAACTTTCTAAAATTATCAACTATATAAACAAAAAAAGGGATGCTCAGAAGGAACAAAGGATGTTTTAAATGAATTTTTTACTCTGAATACTAACTTCAGACTATAGTTCCTTAACTTCATGAGCTGCAAAATGAAGTCTGCTATAACAAAGATCCGACAACGTTCTGAACTAATGATGGCGACCGCTGTACAATGCTTTTACTCATTTTGTCAGCATATTATTCCCTAGAAGTCAAGAAAGTAACAAAAGCAAAGTCATGATGTAATTTTACAGTTTAACTGCTCAAGTCTCAAAAGTTAAATTTCCTTTTAAAGCTACACTCACTGGAGCTTTAATGGAAGTTTGCTTACTCCTAACTCCCCATGTTCCAGGTGAATAATGCAGCAGGGATCATCACTGTGTACATGGGGGAGATTTTACATTCCAGCAGCAACTTTTGTTAAACACAAATTTGAGAAGGTTACTCTGCCTTTCAGATGCAATTTTTTTTGAGGAAATTTACATACTATTCAGTACTTCAAACTGAAAGAATTAATTTATTTTTATAGTGAAGAACAGCCTGACAGATAAAATACTGTAAACCGGTGAGTATCTTTTTGGATAGCATTTTACCTAGAAGGGCAAGTAGTCTTCTGTAACTCTGGTAATATAAGTCATCAAAGTTTAACAACACTAGGTAAAAGTAAATAGTGTACTCTTATGTTTATTAACATTACTGTATTACTACTAACAAATGTCCAGCTTAAATATTTTACATATTCTATAGTTTAGCATTGCAAATATATAACAAGCATATCTGAAAAAATTATTCATGCAAGTTACACAGAACCAAGTTAGGGGCAAAACATAAAATCGTAGGCTATAGGCATCACAAATTATCACATACTCCATTATTATTTAATTAACCTGGAATTCACTTTTAATAACAGCACAAAGATTTACTCTGTTTTACAGAAATGACTGACAAGTATAGGAGTGCTATTGTTTATATTATGAATAAAAATCTAATCTTGACACTTTTAGGCCATGAACTGTACCTCATCTTACCTAATGAAAGATAAAATTTGTAAGCCTTTATGGAATATTCCTAAAATGCACAGCAAAGTAAAAAACAAATCTATAGATGATAACTCATAGAAGAGAAGGAAAAAGAAAATGTAATGAAAACTATATGACAGAAATATCTAATTTATGGTTGAATATACAAAGTACAGTTATACTACGTTTAAGTATAATATTGTGAGGAAATGTTTTAATAATCTGGAATTCATTTTTGAAGTTTACATTTTAACAGTTCTGGCTCTACTAGGGAACACAATAAAAAGTGACTGGTATTATTATACATAAGATCTGATTTAATTTTTCCACTTACTCTTTTGCTTCTTAAATCTGATCTGAATCCATTACAGAGGAATAACCTTAAGTCTCAGGGAGTATGTACTTTTTAGTCACCTAAAAGCAAATTTCCTTGTTTACTATAATTCAACTTCATTTTACCCTTTTTCAATCACCGAAAATTTAAGAAACATTTTTGATTCTCGTTTGCTGCAACATGTTCACTCAACTCATTAATATTCATGATTCTCATCTGATTTATAGATAATCCATATTTGCTTTTTCTATTTTCTTCTGCTTTTTGTCTTGTGGGCAATTCAAAGCAGATCCAGGTAACTAATAATGAAACCTCTAACTTTGGTCAAAAACTTGACAGAAGTTCAAATCATCTTTCAAACACTTATTTTTTGGACTATCTGTAGGTTATACTCGTCATTCTTATAGAACAGAAAAATCTGCTACGTAATATGAATCTGTAAGTTACTCTGTATTTAAGGAATATTTACTTCTTTTTATGTAGTGCATCACACGCCTAAGTACTTAAACATTTAAGGAAGGTAAGATAAAAGAGAAGGAAACGGACTAAATTCAGGACTCACAAATGCGAAATCAGTGACACAAAAGACCTTCTTTTAAAGGCTATGGTATGAAAGTAAGCTGCAGCAGAGTACCTGTACATCCTGCTTCATCTGCCTGAGCTTCAGGCCCCAGGATTTCTTGCCCTTCCTTTCCTGCTGAAATCAAAGAAGAAGAAATTAAAATAGATCTATAGTGTTCCTAATACAAATGAAAGACACATGTTTAAAGTTTTGGATATCCCAATTACTCTGATCTGATCATTACACATTGTATACATGTATCAAAATATCACATGTACTCCCCAAATATATACAGCTATTATATATCAATAAAAAATTAAAAAAATCCAGGTATCACAAACATTTTAACTTCCGAAAATCTGAAAAGGAAACTTTCAGTACGGATTATATTTAATTTGAATTTTTTCCTTTTATGAATATGGTAATGTGTCCTTGAAAAGTAAAGCTGTTTAAATAAATTAAGTGGATAGTCTTATCACAAAAATATCTTAGAGAAGTAAAAGCAGTACAGATTTAGATATTCTGGAATTATACATATTTTAGGATTATAAGCAAATTGGAATTTTAGTATTATTTTGGTAAAAGAGCTCTACCTATAGATGGTAGAATTATATATTTTTATTTCTTCTCTAAAGCACAAATTCTATGTTCTAGGCACTGTGCTAGTAACTTACTTCTTTTAAGCTTTGTAACAATATATTTTATAAGTTAAAAAACTTGAGGCTTGGAGAAGTTAAATAACTTGCCCATAGACACACAACTATTAGGTGGTAGAAATGAAATATAAATGCAGGTCTGATTGACTTCAAAGCCCACTTTCCATCACACTCTTGCTCATTTAACTAGGGTACCAGAAAACTAGAAAGAAGACTGGACCAAACGTTACTGTGCCCAAAGTAAACACCTAAGGCATTATGCTTTTTCTTTCAGTTTATTCATTATTCTACTACATATGTTGATATGTAGTAATCAACAATATAGTGCTACTAACAAATATTTTTAGATATCTGTCATCTTCCCTTGCTACTTCTACATTTACAGTGGGCTATCTGTAGCATTTCATACAGCATAGGTTCAGAATAAACATTTTGTATGATAAACAAATGCATACTTTCTGGACAAGAAGTATGTTTTATATTTTCAGGCACATTTTATTTATTATAATAGTGTATTAAGAACACATGCATATATGAAAGGCATGAAGAAGTTAAAAACTGTTCTTTTTCTAACTAGTAGCAGAGTATATGTCATAATTATGATCAGAATACTTATACGGTCACACCAAAATAGTGTTGTTATCTGCACCCTAATCAAATTGCACTGAATATGTCCGTCAAAAGTCTTGATTTAAATTTCTTTTAGGTTTGGTTGTTAAATTGAGAAATAGAGCACTAATCAAGTAAAATCTTTGCATCGCATTATAGCATGTATTTCCTTTAAGTGCCTTGGGTTATCAGGTGGATTTATTCAGCAGATTTTCTTTACTCATTAACTTTCATACTAGTACTTAAAGATGATCATATAGGAAAAACAGTCAAAATATGCACAAACCTCTTTAGATCAATGTAAAAAGCACTGTTTTAAATAGATAATGATGAGATTAACTTCTGCTGAAGTCTCATTTTATACTTTCCATCAGCAAAATGACAGTTTAAAGATTCTTGGTAAAGTGCTTACAAAGCTGTAGGATAAACATTAATGTTTGCTAAGTGTCTGCAAACCTCTAGCACCCCCTTTTTCTCGCTTCAATGTGTCTCCTTAAACTAAAATAATAAACAGTATGCCAACTGGGTAATTATATGATGGTAATATAGTTATTGATTACTGTATACTTATGTTCCTTATTCTTCTAAAATGAAAATCAAAACAGCCAGAGTTACTACCTGATAAGATGGAATATGACATTGATATTAAAGGTTAAAATGACATTTTTAGACGTTGCTAATTTTTCTACTTATAACTATTTTAGGAACTGCAATTTGATTAATTTATTTGTTTCTTCATTTCTTCATCTCCCCTTGGGATAAATTCTAGGCTCTTTAGATGAGTATTTAACATACTTCAGAATCTACTCCAAGACCTATTTTCCACAATTTAAAAACTAGAAGTCTATTTTTTCCCCTCATTATTGAGGCTGGAGTTTTGGTTGAACAACTAAGACCATGGTGCCTAATGAAAACAGAAAACATTCTAATGTTGGCCTTCAGCACTGCAAAAAAGTGCTGCCTCGGTATAGGCTCCTTTCTGCATCATCCGTGGACTAGCATGAGTGTGTCTGCAAACAGGCTGTGCTAAGTATTTTTCAAGCAGCAGTATCTCTCATGTGTTCTCATCTTACTTCTGTGTAGGAATTACAAGGGGTGTAAAGTAACAAAATCAACTTGTACGTATTTTTTTCCTGTAAGACTTAATAATGTCAACAGATTATGACTGGTTAACCTATATGCAATTTTAAAAAGAACACTAGAATGCTCCTAAGGTTTTTGTTTTTAGTATAAATTCTAAAGCAAATATGTAAGTCAGAAAAATGCCTGAGTAATAAGACTTTGTTTTTACAAAATGGAAAATAATGGAAAAAGTTGGCCTAAAAAATAAGTCATGAAATAACTACTCAGCAATAAAAAAGAACGAACTATTGATACAAGCAACAGCTCAGATGAATTTCCAAGAATTGAAAAAAAGCCAGTCTAAAAGGTTACATACTGTATGATTTCATTTATGTAACTTTCTTCAAATAATACGATTGTAAAGATGGAGATTAGTGGTTGCCAGGGGTAAGGAATGGGGCAAGGTAGAGGGACGGGGTGAATATGTAACGGGAAATGAGAGCCTGGTAGTGACAGAACTGCTTTGTATCTTGAGTGTATCAATGTCAATATGCTTGTTGTGACATTATATTATGTTACCATTGGAGGAAACTGGGTAAAGGCTACACAGGATTTCTCTGTATTATTGTGAATCTATCATTAGGTCAAAATAAAAAGTTTAATTAAAAAATAAGTCAAAGGCAAATATTGCAAATTCAGACCAAAAGAACTTATGGCTTGTTCTTTTTAGTCATAAGATGAAATTCCTAGTAAATAAAAACAAGAATGGAAAATGTGATTAATTCTAATAAAAATCCAGAAGACTTTCTATCATTTGCAGGATAGCATAGTTTAAGCTAAAGGACTGGTTATTTAGCATATGTGTTAAATTAAAAAACTTGTGTTTTTTGAAATTCATACCCATGTGTTTCTAACCATTTCAAATGTGTTCATGGGAATATCTTATAGCAACCTCTAAGGCGGCACAGTAATTACCTAACTGAATCAGATTTCCCTTTCCTGGTTTGCCTACTCCTCTTTGATACACATTCACACATGCCAGGCACATTTTACCTGTATAGATACTCCTTGACTTATGATGAGGTTACATCTTGATAAACCCATTATAAATGGAAAATATCATGTCAAAATGCATTTAATACACTGGTCCTACTGAACAACATAGTCCAGCCTAGTCTAACTTAAAGGTACTCAGGACAATTACGGTATCCTACAGTTGGGCAAAATCATCTAACATGAAGCCCATTTTATAATAAAGTATTAAAATCTCATATAATTTATTGAACAGTATATTGAAAATGAGAAATGATTTCATAGGTCCTTGGAGTGTGGTTTCTACTGAATACACATTTCTTTCACATCACTGTAAAGTGAAAAGTCTTAAGTCGAAGTTGTAAGTTGGGGACCTTCTCTATACCTTTTCTCAAGTTGTTCCCTCTGCCTAGAAAGCCATTACCCAGTCCAAATGAGTAACTTCCACAGATTTTTTAAAGGCCAATTCACATCTCTCTCATTCTGTAAGTCGTTGCTGGGCCAGCTTTCTGCTATTCCCATCCTACTGTTCCTGCTAAGGGAAAACTATCAAAAAAGAGAATGCCAACAGATTCCTGAATTCAAATCTAAATGTGTTCAAACTTTAGAGATGAAATGTTTCACTGTATACTTTTCTAGATAGTTTCATTTTCCCACTCCTGTATCTTCTAATTTATAATATGTATGTGAATATTTGTGGTATAACTGTCTAGCAAAGTTAAAATGAATATAACTCACAATCTCCATGAATACCCATTACCTTAGATAACGATTAAAAATGTATACCTGAGGTCAGATCCAGCTAAGATGGAGAATGTACAAACCGTTTATGTCCGCTACTGAATCTAGCTAATAAAACCTGGGGATAACGAAGGGAACAGTTATTTAAAGACTCTAAAGGGTAAGTCACAGCAGGTGGACTGGAGAAGATGACATGACAAGAATTCAGAGTAGCACAGGGTGATTCCCCTTACCTTTTTCTTTCTTCCTTTTTCAAAAGGTACCCCTGGCCCGGATGCAAGGGAGCTTAAAACCTGAAAGTGGGCCCTGGGGCATGGCAGTGAAGGCTCTAGGAGAATCCTTCTAGTTTAGGCTCAAGGAGCAGGAAAAGGCTTAAAGAAGAGAAAAACTGCCCTTTTCTCCTTTATTCTCTTGCATCCTAACCTTCAAGGTAGTAGCAGAAATAATGATGACTGCAAGAATTTAAAACTTTGAGGGAGGGAAAACTTCCTCTCCAGTAGGAGGAGCTGTGGCCCTAAGAGTATAATATAACCTCCACTGAGCTCTTTCTCTGTCTTCTTTCAGCTCTTCCACAGGCACAGATACAGGAAGTATGTGGCAAAGTAGGGTAAATGAAGTCCCAAAGTTTTGGCTAGAGGACTGAAAAGCAGTCTCTAGGAACTCAAAGTACTGAGATTACGAAAGAGAGAGGCTCAGGAAAGTGACCTCATAAGGCTGTTTATGAACTCTTGGGTTTATGCTCAAACTTCTCATATGTGAATCTGATCACAGATTGTGAGAAACTAAGTATGGACAGACAATTACAATCCATGTTCTAGATTGGACCCTAGGTGGTACATGAAGGACAGATCTGAACAGCATTTCAAAGGCTTTGAAAAGTGAACCAGTTGTGGAATCACAACCTATATACTGGCTGGAGATTGCATCCTGAATACAACTGGATAAATTGCCTGTTAAGCAAAAAATATCAAAATTCTCTATAGGATTTAAATAAGACCAAGTATTAGTCTTATTTAACTTATTAGTCTCATA